CTTGGGTTCTGCTGGAATCTGACCCTGACTGAGGAAACGGGGGGGGGTGCAATATCATTAGTTAAAGGTGGAAATACTGAAAACTGCTAATTGATTTAATAGCTTGTGAGCACAGTGGCTTTGCCCTGCATGGTTTTCCAGCAGACCACGCATCAGCTTCAGCACCTTTGTGTCAGGTGCCTTCTGCTCTGTTTGGTGGCACCACATTCACAGCTGCTTGGAGATCACGCTGGGTTTCTGTGAGGCTTGCTAGCAACATCTGCCTTGGCCAGCTTATGTACAAAGCCAGAAGGGCTATGGTTGGGCACAGTGGCCCAAGTTGGCAGCTGTGAATGCAGATCAGAAGAGCTGTCAGACACATGTGTACACACACACCTTTGAATCACAACTCTCTGATGTTACAGGTTTATGCCAGTTACTGTAACAGGCTCTGACCCTGGTATCCTACTGACGAATGCAAGGTTTGAGGGAAGGCTTCCACTTCCTCTGTTATTAGTTCTCAGGTGAGAGGTTGAGCTGGTACCTCCAGAGAGGGACCCGTACGCCAATTCATCCCTCTCAATTATACCCATACCACCTGATCCCCAAGTCCAGTCACTTAATTCTGGTTGGTGGTCACTTGATTTCTTACAGGTTTTCACTGTCACTGGGCTGGCCACCTTCAGACATTACTTCATTGTCTTGGAATTGTCACCTTGGTCCTTATCTTCTTCATTCCATTCATACTTAGATGAAAAGGAGTTAACAGTGGCTGAACATGAGCCAGCATGTGCCCAGGTGGCCAGGAAGGCCAATGACATCCTGGCCTGTACCAGCAATAGTGGGGCCAGCAGGACCAGGGCAGTGACCATCCCCCTGTGCTGGGCACTGGTGAGGCCACACCTCAAATCCTGTGTTCAGTTCTGGACCCTGTGTTCAGTTTTGGGCCCCTCAAAAGAAGAAAGTCATTGAGGTGCTCGAGCGTGTCCAGAGGACAATGGAGCTGAGGAAGGGTCTGATGAGGAGCAGCTGAGGGAGCTGGGTTTAGCTTGGAGAAAATGAGGCTCCATTGCTCTCTACAACTACGTGAAAGGAGGTTGTAGCCAGGTCAGGGTTGACCTCCTAATTACAGAGGAAATGGCCTCAAGTTGTGCCAGGGGAGATTTAGATTGGCTAT